TGCATCTTGCAATAAAATTCAAAAACTGCGCTCAGGACTTCAGTCACTTTTGCATCAACAGTCGCACAAAAAAGTATTGGTGGGGCAAGGAGAAGCTTGTCGTTTGGAGTGACAAGTGACCATTGCTGCTTTTCCTTGTCAGAGCCAACAATACACTTTGTTCTGCGGCCTTGTGGTTAGTGTTGGAGTAGAAGTTGCTGAGGAGACGTCGCGGAGGGGCGAGCTTTTCTGCGCAGGTATGCCTTTGGCCGTATTTCAGCATGGTCGAGTGGAAAAATTGAAAAAAGTTTATTTCAAGAAAACCCCAAAAGGAAGATGGGGGACATGTCCTCAGCGCTAGAAGAGGTGTTCTACTATCGGCCGGTGTATAGTTCTGGCCCATTGAGGACGTAGCTGGCTGTTTTGCCAGTGCTTGTAAATTGGCTATTTCCAAGACGATCATTTGTGGCGTCAGGGGGTGATGGACTTCCTCTTCTGGGATCCTTGCGTGGCTAAGCGGTACTGCTCGAGGAACTCTTCTAAGGCGAGGCAATGTTGGCTTGATGGAGTTTTGTTCGTAGCTTGTTCGTATACGCTGTGGCGTGACTCGTTTCTAGACCCATAAATAATGTGATATTTTGGCCATTTTTGAGGGTATGCAAATTTCAAGGTTCCCTTCAGAAACGTTTTCAAGTGCTTTGCACAATCGATCCACACCCCAAAGGGAACCTACCTGCAAAATTTGAGCGAAATCGGAGAGATCCACTTGCAAACATACTTTGGTATTCTCAGACATGCTCTCTTAATTAACAGTAACGTCTTTTGCATAGCTACGAGAAAAGTACCACATTTTCATTGGTTTAGGGAGTGGAAAAGTACCACATGTTCAGATTTGTCAACCAGGATCGAAGGCTATGTTTTTACAATTAAACTGCCTTTAGACCTCCACATCTTAAATTCACATTTATGCTTAATGTTGCAACCGGGAGTCTGCTGTGTTTTCTCTCATTCAGCGGAAAATCAAACCCAATCGTTATACAAACTTGGTACGGTGATCAGCGTTGGTGTTGTCGGGATGGTTCTCGGGTTAATAACAGCAACAGTAGCTGCCATAATAGTCCATCGGAAGATCCAAAGCAAACCGGTCAAGACAGAAGTTTCAGGTCAGACACAAAATGCAGCCTATGAAGATGCTGACGTTGCGGAGAGTTCACTCACCAAAAGTGATGCTTATGGTGTCGTTGAAGCCGCCCCGCAGCCACAATATGAATTTGTTTGCCCACAGTACTTCAGTAACTGACTGAGCGCATTTTCTTTGCCATTGTAGTTTGGTGGGCATCTCTGTATAGTCGCATATGATGTGCCTCATTCTCTGCCTCAATGTCAATTTCTTATAGTACACACTTCCATGCCTAGCATTGGGCATTGTTTGAAAAAATTTCCTAATCAAATTTTTGTAATTCCTCAGTTCGGTGCCTTCTGTTCTCTAGTCTTTGTTCGTATTCTATCTCTTCACAGAAGTGTTGCTTTTCTAAGTTCCTCTGTAATGGCCTTTGATAACGGCTACGAAAGCTAACATGATTGTAAATTTTGCTTTTTTTCCTTGCTGCTCAAGAAGTAAGGCTCATCAAATGAAACCACCCCCCCACACATACACACACAAAGTGTCCTATATTACTCACGTCATTAATTAATTATAATATTAACTCCATCGGGTTAACCTTTTCTTTCGCTATAAATGATCAACGCCTTGCAACACTATCCATATCTGTTTCTTTTTCTCAGTAGTGTACCTTTTTCTTTCGAATCTTACTCTTTTCCTTCCTAGCCCTGTTGGACTATAAGCACCCTACAATCATAACTAAAAGTGGTCATTGGCTGCCCAGCCATGTATTGTTTGGAGTAAAACTAACTAAACCTAAGCAGTTTTAGCCCTATGTCTAGTCCATTTTTTCTTCTTTTTTTGCCATTCCTACACCACATTATCTTTCTAGCTTACATTGAATTATTTCGCATTGTGTCACCTAAATGTTTCTCCTAAATGTTTCACCTCTATACTTTTCAACATGTCCCCCAGTCTGATGTATTTTCCAAATGATGACTATCACAAGAAACATTCTTTCAAATTTTTAAAACTTTAACAGTGTTGCTTGATTTCAGATGGTGAGCTACGAAAAAGATTAATTGTAACAGGGAAAAATGGGCACAAGTTATGCGATCCAGTCCACAAAAAGCCCCAGATTTGAACAGCCAGACGCGCACAATTTAGCACAAAACAGACGAGGGGTACTGAGACATTCTACGGCATGAAATTAGCTTGAGCACTGTTCAATAGTGCTAACCAACAGCCTTTCCCAATATAAAAGAGCGTCTTACCGCGCCTGAATCCAGTGTCCAACACTCTCTCCTGCTCCTTCTTGCAGTAGGAAATCTAGTGGAGACTGAGAGTTATATCCATAATTGAGAAAAAATGGGTGCTAACAGTTGAAGACTGATGAGAGCTATCTGTAGCGTACTCACATAGCGGTGACAGTGTGTCCAAATTTTCCTGCTTGTGGTTACCAAATGCTCTAAGAATATCTTCCAAAATTCTATTTACATTTTATGATTGCTAATTCGGCAGCGGATGATTAGAAGAACTGAAGGATAATGTTGACCACAACTGGTACAATTGCTCCAAAAAAAAAACAGAAGTAAATCTGAGGTCGCAATCACAAACTATCATGGAGCTCATAACATGCAATCTATAATAACATATTCCGAATACAGAGACTAACAGAGACCTAGCGTCCATGTAAGAAGTCGTTGGGACTAAGTGAACCGCATTTAGTTTGCCGATCTCCCAACGTGTAGATAGATTAAAACCTCACGCATGTAGCTTGTATTAAAACCTCAGGAGTCTCAGGAAACTCAACAATGAAATACATTGAAATGTCCTTCCAAGGTCCATCTGGTATGTACATGTACATTGAAATGTCCTTCCAAGTCCATCTGGTATGTACATGTACATTGAAATGTCCTTCCAAGGTCCATCTGGTATGGCGGGTGGGATGAAGCAAAGCAGACTCAGGCGGTCCACCTTTGGTACGGCTGTTAAATGCCACGAGATTTCCCACACTCTTAATATCAACACCCATTTTGGGCAGTAAAACACTTGACGTAACCTGAAATATGTCCTCTTTCGGCCTGGATGGCCAGCTGTGAAACAGTGGTGATGCTCTTTGATAAGCTGCAGCCACTCTCGCGCATGGTAACACAACGACGATTGTAAGGAGGGGCACCCAAGTATAGATGTTGGGACTAGCCACTCTAGTAATAGCGCTCATGTAGACTATCAACTGGCTAATTGAGCGTCCTCTGAAATATTGGATACAGCTGGTCAATATTTTGTTAGGATTCTGAATCGTTTTGGCCACCCTCTAATTGACTTCCAGTGGAAACCTTATAGGATAGGTGGACAATCACTCACTACATTTCTACTACAGGATTGGCCATGCTGATCAGGGCGTCGTACATACGTTCCGCCTAATTTATTGTGCATTTATCCGGTTGGCCGTGTATCGATCGTCTAGCACGGGCACCAGATCAAAGAACGTGATCCGGCCACTTCGCCCGTGGTTTTTCTGACGTCGGAGCAATACTAGAAGGCTACGATTGATGATAGCTTCCATGACCTTTGACAGCATTGGCAGCAGGGATATGGGTCGGTAGTTCTTTGTTGCGGACATCGAACCCTTCTTGTGCACAGGTACAACGGAGGCAAGCTTCCACAGTGACGGTTGCCGGCCTTGGCGGAATGCTTTGCTGAAGAGCTGGGCACAGGCCTGTACAGTTCCCTCACAGCACTGCTTCAACACTCGTCCTGGTACACCATCCGAGCCAGTGGCTTTGGACGGGACAATCCTCCTAAGTTCACGGCATACCGTTCGTGGCCTAAAGTGGATGGTACTCAGACAAGCATCAGATCACGGGCGTACATACGGGAGGTTGCTGGCATCAAGGTCATCACCAAGGCTGCATATGGCCAAACAGCCTCCAGCGTGATCTCTTGACCATCACACTCAAGGGTTCAGCTTCGCATCTGGCATAGAAAGCATCATTGGGTATTATTTGAGGCCATTTCACAGCGATGTGTCCCCCTTTCAGTGCCAAGGACGAGATAACTCTTCCTACAGACCCCCTCGCGATTGGCAAGGACGAGATATCTCGCCCTCGTAGTGCGCACGTTATAATGCAGTGCATAGGCCAGTGTACAAACTATCGTAACTCTGTGAAACATAAACGCATCGCCCCCATCAATACACCGTTGGAAAGGTCTTGACCTCATCTTTCCGCGGATATACCGTTCGGCGCGACGGGATAAGGAATCACTGAGCGGCGACAGGATGAACAGCAAAATCACGGGCCGGAGCGAACACGAATTTTTTTGTTCATGACTTCGCAGTTTTTTGGAGCGTGCAGGGGATTTCCCTTTGACACGACGCATGCGTGATGAGCATCAAATGAAGCGCTTGGATCTCAGCTTTGCAGCGCAGTTCGAATCGTGAAAATCGATTGAATTTGGGCAAGATGCCGAACAAGAACGTGAGATTGAGTTGTTGTGCCGTTCCGAGGCCGGTGGAGTAGTTCGGAGAGGAGGTGGAAGTGGCCCTGGTGTGTCTATGTTGCTGAGATCTACCATGATGGATTCGCTTGGTCCTGATCTTTCCAACGAGCCCAGGATGATAAAATCCATCATGGTGGAGTGAAATGAGAAAAAATTCCATTCACAGCTGTGCGCGCAAACTACACCAAGAGAGCCAGTGCACTGGACAGCCGGAGAAAAGGGGCCCGGCATGGAAGGGCCACGCCGGGCCCAATTTTCTGACGGCGAAGGAAGGAATCCAGGCGAGACAGATCGGTCACACTGACCCCCCACTTACCCGAGTTGTACGTCAGTACTGGGATAATAAAGTGTTGTACAGCCGCAGACGCAACTTCTCGCTGATGTGCTAATGCCTCTTACAGAGGCTCCATAGGGACTAAAATGCTGCAGTCGCCAGCTGTTTCCGCCGCATAATATCCTCTTCGTCGCCCAGCAGCGAACCCAGCTTGCGCGTTGTCCTCCACTCTTCATCGATCCTGTCCGCACTTCTGAAGATGTCGGTATACTCGGTTTTGTTCCGGTTCATGACCAGGGACCACTGTGAGAACAGCATTAGAAGAACAAATACCCGGTACGACTTTTCTGCTTTGATGAATTGGTGTGTGTAAAGGCTACCGGGGCTTGAAACCTGTCGGCAAGTAGAAGAGGAGGAGTGTTTGCAAGACCAGTTTTCTAATATACAAATGCTGATATTATAATAACAACAGACGCTGGAAGCGAAAAGCTGTGTACATGTAACGAAGACTCCCTCGATTTAGGCTAAGGCTTGTGGAGAATCCATAAATACAAATACAAACTTCAAGGTTCACGGATTTAAGCAATCATCACACGGCAAAATTTTGGGTGAATTCTAAACTCCTGTTATGTGCTAATCGCATAAATGCGTGAAACTTGAAGTTACAGCGACACAGCTATTCGTCTCTATCGTATGTGTATCTTGCTTTGCACATCTGTGCATAAAGCACTCTGATACAAGGCTTGGAGCTGCCGCGATCGGCCTTATTTGTGTTTTTTACAAGTATTTTGACAACTGTCGCTACCCCCTCATGAAAAAGTCTTATACTGCAATGTAGGTTGAGCACATGCATTTCAGGGAGACTGTTGCCCGTATGATGATACCGCACATTAAAGCTGAGCTTATTACTTTGCTGACGACACTGCTCTGATGTGGAGGTCATTGATATGGGTTTCTATTTAACATAACGCTTACATTTGACCCAAGTAAGCCAGTTTTGACCCAGGTGACGCAAGTCAACACTAAAACCTAGAATACTTGACACCGAAATCTAAGGTCGCATGCCAAACATGCCTCGGTGTAAGACCGGCTAGACAATATACCGTGCAAAACACTACAGTCCGTGATCATCCCGGGAATCAGAAACTTCAAACCGTCTGACACTGGTAGACAGCGAACGTTCCGATACTTCACATTATGCACTAAGAGAAATGAACTAAAAATTGACAGGCGATCGGTAGACGCTTGTCAGAGCACGTGACACCCAGGACGATCTGATTTCACTTGCCAGTCACTAAGGGAGGACTATGGAAAACGTCAAGAGGTGACACCGGAATCTCAATAAATCATGAATACACACAAACTAAACTGGCAGTCATGCATTTCAGTCATTTATGCATTTGGAATCCATACTGTATCTGTGCGTTAACCTTGAGCAGGGAGATGGCTTGCGTAGTATGTTCAGTTCGAAAGACTCGCGCAAGGTTTAGAAGAAGTCACTTGTATATCGAAAAGATTAATTGGATGAGAAGAAACACGTATAAGCCGAAGGACTCCCAGAATTGGCTTAGTAGAGGGCGGAATCTCGCCATTCTACTGTTGTAATCAGGTAAGATCTTGGCAGCTATTAACGTATCGTAGAGGCTGTTGTTCTCGGGATTCATTCCTTCCTATGAGATATATACCCTTTCCCAGCC